AAGTCTGCAAGCTCAATGTTTTTCGCCCCTACGGAGCGAGCGTTCCAGTTGGCGATCTTTATGGGTTCACGGTCCATAATTAGCGACGAAGGAGATGATAGCTTGGAGCTGTTGTGTTCTTGTTGCGCAGGTGCGCTTGATGATGATGGCCTGGGCCAACAGTGTGACGATCTCATCCGTTGACAGCGGAGAATCGTCTTCACCGGTTGTACCGGCCAATCCCGGAGCAGGGGGATCCGTCGATGGGCCGGAGGCTTGACTGGGTACTGCAGCGGCAGCCGACTGGGCAGCAGCCAACTGTTGGTTGAGCGGGAGCGGCGCCAACACTGGAATTGGCCGTGGTTGGACCGGTGATAACGGAGGAAAGTTCTGCGCGTTGTTTTCCGGGACCTTCTTGCGACCGGGCTGGTTGTTGGACGAGGCCTTCTTCCGGATCTCGGCGTATTCGGCCCGCTTCGGACAGGCCTTACTCGTGGCCTTGTGGGCAGCACCGCAGTTGGCGCATGTGGGAGCGGCTTCCTCGATGCTGTCGCAGTCGTCGATCTTGTGGTTTTTGCCGCATTTGATGCAGCGGCTGGCCATGCGGCAGTTCCTGGTGCCGTGCCCGAACAATAGGCAGTTCGAGCACTGAGTGACGCCACGGTGGGTTGGCTTATACCGCTCCCACTTCACTACGATGTGGAACAGTGTGCGTGTCGTATGGAGATCCTTCACGGTTGTGGAGTTCTTCTGCAGATGGACCAAGTAGAGCTGGTCACGATACTTGATGGTCTTGCTGCGGGTCATCTTGTGGATTTCTACCGGCTTGAGGCCGTTCGCCTTAATCTCGTCCATTAAGGTGGTGGTGTCCATGTCGTGGAGCCCGCGCAGCACCACTTTCAGCGGCTTGGTGGCCTCGACGTCGTGGGAGAAGTACTCCAGCTTCATCCTGTCCAAGAGGGTCTGGACTGCGTTGTAGTGATTTTCGGCCGAGACCATCAGTTTGTAGCCTTCCGTGCACCGTTGAATGGTGCAGCGAAGGCCCTGCTTAATGTAGAAATCCAGCTGCTCCCATAGCCCGGGAGGGAAGCCCTTCACATAGAAGGGTGGCAACTTAACTTTTTTAGGCACCGTCTCAGGGTCCGACTGCGGCTGGGCTCCGTTCTGCAGGGCGGAGAACGGATTGTTGCTCAGCAGCTTTTTTGCTGCCGATGCGGTGGCGCTGATGTCTTCAGGTCTGGGTCGTTTAGTTCCGGGAGGCCCCGGCTGCGGGTCCGCAACGCCTGTCGGGACGGGCAATGGGGTTTTCTTCTGCTTCTTCTGAGCTGGCTCGGTGGTCGCGCCGTCTCCTGGGAGAGTCTGTTTTCCCGGTAAGCCGGCACTCGCGTTACCGCGCGATTTCTTACCCATGGCTGGGTCAGCGACTTGCGAACGAACGAACGAAACTAGAGAGAATTCAAATCGACTGAACTGCTCAACAGTCTGGCAGCGAATGAGCTGATACCAGACAGCAGCGCTGCTTTATATCTTTTTAGGTTAAAGCAGAATGATGTGCAACGAAGTGGTATAAAAGCTACAAAGACTCCTCCCATTATGAGTAGTTTGCTATCAAGTAGCGACACTGGCTATTTTCTTTTTGCGTACACGGCGAATGAGAACAACCCAAATTTGAGATTAGTTCACTCATAATCGTCAAAAGTGTAGGAACTCAGCGATGAGTAAATTTGTCTCATTGTTTCCTATGGAAAACCTAAAAGATCTGCCAGAAAATCAGGAAATTGACGAAAATTTTATTCAGTCTCGGAGTAGTACCAATAGACTGAGTGAAACCAATCTTTACTTTTCTCAAATTCAGGAATTTTTCCCTGGAAAATCCTGGAAAAACCTGGGAAAACATGAGGCAAATTTACTCATCGCTGAGTTCCTGCACTTTATTTCTTATTTCTGAGATAACTAAACTCAAATTTGGGTCGTTCTCATTCGCCGTGATAGATATCAGCGCCGGTGGTTAGCGTGATTACCTCTCACCCCAGCAGGCCTGGGTCCAATCTCAGTCGGCGCCACCGGCATGTTCTAAGGCATAACATCTCTGGGAGCTGCCTCAATAGGTTTCAATAGGTCCTATCTACATTGATCGATTCTCTTCATCGACACTCTCTTTCGTAAATAACTCGGCTTCACAAATCTGGATCAACAATAGAAAAGAGCCCATCAGCATTTGTAAATAAACCGTTTCAAAGCCCTTTACTCACAAAGCGAAGGCCACCCACACAAACCAACACCATCATTGGATAGGGGAAAACTTCTACCTACAAGATGTTGGTGTTGGTTTGTGTGAGCGGTCTTCGATTTGTGAGGCTTTGGAACGGTTTCTTTACAAATGCTGATGGGCCCTATTCTATTGTTGATCCAGAAATGTTTCCTGCCGTCTTCGTCGAATTAGATGCTAGATTGTTGCTTCTTCCATCGAAAATATCCGGCCGTGGCGATTCAAAGTTGATCAAGGTTGATCAAAATAATTTGTATCCCTGCTTCCAGTTTGATTACATGAGCATTTTGTGTGGTCGGTGGTTCTGAATATGGACAAACAGGCAGATGAATTCTATTCCTACTCTTTACTGTAAAAAGCTTGGTGGCCCTGAAAAGAGCCGTTTTGTTTCCAATGTTGGTGATGATTTAACCTCCGAAACCAAACAGAGTGCGTCTATGTCACTTCAAAAACGTAGATGACATCCATGGCCGCTTACGCTTGGCGTGTTTAGTGTAGGTGACAGCATCACGGATCTCATTTTTCAGCACACCTCCTAAATCAAACCGGAGATACGTCAGACACCGCCACGGCGAGCCAGACGACGGATGGTAGTTATCTCGAAGAATTTGCGTTAGGTTCCGAATATGGCGATGAGTGTGCAAAATATTACGCAATTCCATCCTCCCTATTCGCACGCGCCCGAGGATCGAAGGCGAATGCCAATTCGACTTGTTTCGTCTACTTACTACTCTCTGACGACTGTGCTGGGGAAGCAGCATATGCATGTAGGTAATTGGTGGATTTGTTAGTTAATTCGACGCTTTTGGACAATGCTGGACATTTACCAGTTTTTCAATAGTTTCTTGTTGAAAATCAACATTCGGAAGCATTGTTATCAATGCGTAGCTATATTTCTGAACGATTGGTGATAAAATTATTGAAATTGGACCAGGGGCAGCTGAGTTATAAACGTTCAAAATCTTTCTTAATTTGTTACATGTTCCATTTTCGGTTTTCACAAAGTGTACCCCCATATAGAAATCAAAGACGTAGTCCTACGTCAAAAGTTATTTAGCCATTATGGTTGCTAACCAAACGAACTGATCATTATTCTTTTTTTCTAGCAGCACTGCCAGCTGCCGCCTGCTGCTGTCTGCGCGAGGCAGTCACGTTGTATGGGGGTTCACTCGGCATGGAGGAAAGCCGATATCATTCGATTTTGATGAAACTTTACAAAGGTTTGCGGTAAAGTACAAAAATTATGTTTCACGGGGGTCATTTGGAAACAAGCGTGATTTTTCACAAGGGTGTATTTGATTTGGCGCACAATTTATTCAAACTTTATCAGGCGATGTGCTGCTGCTCAATATTTCATCGGCTTCATTTTTCGGTGGTACTCCACAACTTGCAGTAGGTATTCATGTTGTTTGGGATTCTTGGTTACCGAGTTGTTGAGGTCGGAAACAAGCTTTACGGCCCTTTCCGCGACATCATTCACAACCCAAAGGGCTTGAACTCGCTGCTGCGCTGTTAAGTAGAAAAGAACCGGCGTCACTTTCAATAAATTTAAAGCACTTTTTTGTTCAAAATCGAAACAATGTTTATGAAAATTAAGATTAAGTATTTCTAAGTGTGTACAATCACTACTGGCAGCAATAGCTTCGTGTCTGCCATCGGCGAAGAGTAAAGAGAAATAGCAAACTGTATCTTGTAAATCGTTCTGCAATCACTTAGAATTTCTAATAATTCTCTTTTTATTACCATGCAATTTTCCTCAGAATTCTGCTGAAGATTCTCTTGGAAATTCATCAGCATTTTCTAAGTGCTCTCAAATCTTCAACAGAATTGAAAATGTAAGATCATATATCAATATCCCAATAATTCTGGATCATGAAAAGTTTCCAGATTCAAAAGTAACGTTTTATCAATCATTTTTTACTTAAAATAAATCAAATGTTTGAGACATCTAACTATTTAGAATACTGATACTTTAAACAAAATTTAACATTTTATACTCAAAAAAAATAAACTTTGGGACATTGATCATTTTTAAGGTCTGAAATTTTGCAGTATTCTACGATACTTGCGAGTTGCAGAATTTTTGTTCAGTATCAATCAAATTAAAGCTAAATTTCTACTAACTACCTCCCACTTCCTGCAACGGATCAATTTAAAGTATTCAGTGTTTCCACATTGTTGCAATAACCAAATATGCCTCAGCTGGGCAAACCAGTTCTCCAATTGACGTTCACTATCCTCGTCAATTCAAATCCAAAATTTTCAAATCCACTCCCCGAAAATCACCGCAATAAACCTAATAGCACCGAGTCCATCAAACTCACTGAACGGTAAAGTAATCCCAAATCCCAGCTACCAAACCAGTGAGTTGAAAATTTATCACAATCACCCTTTGCCCCCCTAGTCGGTGCAACACCGATGCAGTAACGGAACTATCCGTATAGTAAGATCTAACCTTCCATATTCCATAATGATAACATGAACCATCAGCGTTCAGGTTTTATGACTGGGATTCTGCGTCCGTAAGGGACTACGGATATGCAAATCGACTATTCCTCGTACTCACAAAGCCCTCGGAAAAGCATGTTGCAACCATCCACAAGAGCCGGATATAGGCTCGTTGATCGGCAAACCTAAGCAAAAAAAGCCTTCCCGCTAAAAAAAAAATCACAAACTGCAAGGTAACCAACCCTATTCCGGGATATTTATCAAAAGTCACTTCACAACACCCATCACATCATATTGTACTTACATCAGTGGCCCGCCCGTGCAGCGTGTCGTACGACTCAGCCTTGGTGCAGATGCTCTTCAGTTTGATCGGCTTCACTACGGTTGGCATCTTGCCGCCGCCTGCCTCGTGCAGCAGCATTTCCCCGTCTGCCCCCAGGATGCGAATGTCATGCGAGGACTTCCGGTGTATTCTCAGCGATTGGGGCGATAGTTCACGTAGCCCCCCACCACCACCTCCGCCAACGCCACTGCCGGGTCTGATGGCATCACCATTTGAACTGTTCACACCAGCCCCAGAGTGTTGATGATTGTGCTGACTGTGCACCGAGATGCTGCATCGTTTGCGCGCCGGATCGTACTTGCCACTCGATACGGGAGCGTGTCCTGCGTCAGACGACGACAGAAGGTTGGCTGTCGTGTTATTAGATTTATTCTGCTGATTATTGGCCACTTGATCGTTGGAGGGGGCAACTTTCGAGCCCATCATCGTCTTGACCGCTTCCGCACGGTGCTCGTGGAACAATGTCGTCGCCCCATCGCTGGCGACCGAACCGTTGTTTTCCGGCGATTGTACGCCCGTCACGCTGTTGTTGTTGTTGTTGTTATTGCTGCGAGGGGAGAAAAGTAGCTTTTAGGATTGATGAAATTGTCCCGGACCAAGGGCGTGTGCAGGGGATTGTAACATCTCCCTGAATTGGGTACTGGCTGTTCATAAACTACGTAGACAGATTTTGATAGGTTTTAGACCCCCTCCCTCGGCGCAGACCCTATTCCCTAAATTGTCAACGTGGTTTATGAACAGCCCAGAATGTGTTTGTAGAATTTTCGACAGCCAACGATGTTGTTTTCTTTTATTGTTTGTTGATCACAGGTCAAAAATAGCAGTCACTTTATTATGCAGGTAGGATCAAATTGTAATGCAATGGATTAGAGTTAAACCAGAATGCGGATTGCACTAAATTTGGAAAAGAATTTGATCAGGATTCTATAGGGTTTGTGTAGGATTAGATGCAAAGTATAGTATTAGATTTGACAGGGATTGGAGTTCGATCTGAGTGGATTGGGATTTGAATAGGAGAATGGGCATTAAGATTGGATTAAGATTGGATTAAGATTTGATTGGGATTGGATTGGTATTGCATTTGAGTTGGATTGTAATTGTTTTGAGATAGAATTAAATTGATATTGGAATGATATTGGATAAAAATAGCATTAAGATTGGATTGGGATTGTGTTGGGATTGGATTGGTATTGCATTGGAGTTGGTTTGCGATTGCATTGATATTGGGTTGAGATATGATTGAAATTGGATTGGGAATTATTTGTGACTTGATTGAGATTGGATGAGAATTGGGTTCTTTAATTTTGAAAAATATATCGGTTTTTATACATCATCTGAAAGAGCTTCGTTTCCTAAGCACAGCGATATTTTTTTCGAACTCACACAATTTCATTTCGATTTTTAAATTAAGATTTAAAGCAAAATAATAACTTCACTGTTTGACACTAAACTGACAAACTGACAGCTCGCTCACATACAAAGTGACACCGAGGGGTGCTAATAAGGTGATTTTTGCAAATGTAATCGTACTTATTTAAAATAGTTCCAGTGCACCAAAATTGATGAAATTTTGGGTTTGGGTTCCATTTTTAATGCAGATTACGAATATGCATTTACCTCAATACCCTTAAAGAACCCAATTGAATTTTAATTGGATTAAATTGATATTGTATTGAGATTGGATAAGAATTGGATTAAGATTAGATTAGGATTGGATTAAGATTCGATTGGGATTGGAATGGTATTACAGTTGGATTGTGATTGTATTGAGATAGGATTGAATTGATATTGGATTGAGATAGAATTGTAATGGTATTGGGAATTAATTGTGACTTGATTGGGATTGGATTGGGATTGGATTGGGATTGAATTGGAATTATACTGGGATTTGATTGGGATTGGATCGGGATTGGATTGGGATTGTATTGGGATTAGATTAGGATTGTATTTAGACTGAATTGGGATTGGTTTTAGTTTGAGATTGGATTGAGATTGGATTGAGATTGGATTGGGATTTTATTGGGGTTTGATTTGGATTGGATTAAATTTAAATTAGATTGGATTGGGATTGGTTTGGGATTGAATTTAGAATCGATTGTGACTACATTGTGACTTGAATGGAATTGAGTAAGGATTTGGATTGAGATTGGATTGGGATTGGATTGGGATTGGATTTAGATTGAATTGGATTGAGATTGGATTGAGATTGGATTGAGATTGGATTGAGATTGGATTGATATTGGATTGGTAATGCATTGAGATTGAATTGGCAGTGGATTGAGATTGGATTGGGATTGGATTGGGATTGGATTGGGATTGGATTGGGATTGGATTGTGATTGGATTGGGATTGGATTGCGATTGAAATGGGATTGGAGTAGCATTGGAATGGGAGTGGATTTGAATTGAATTGGAATTGGATTAGAATTGGGTAGCAATTGGATTCGAATTAAAAAAGGATTGAATTGAGGTTGGATTGAGATTGGATTGAGATTGGATTGAGATTGGATTGAGATTGGATTAGGATTGGATTGGGATCGGGTTGAGATTTGTTTGGTATTGCATTGGAGTTGGATTGTAATTGTATTGAGATAGGATTGAATTGATATTGGATTGATATTGATTAGATAGATTGGGATTGTATTGGAATTGGATTGATATTGCATTGGAGTTGGAATGCGATTGTATTGATATTGGGTTGAGATATGATTGGAATTGGATTCTGAATTATTTGTGACTTGATTGAGATTGGATGGGAATTTTATGGAGATTGCATTGGGATTTGAATTGGATTAAAATGATATTGTATTGAGATTGGATTGGGATTGGATTAAAATTGGATTGGGATTGGACTAGGATTTGATTAGTATTGGATTGAGATTGGATTGGGATTGGATTGAACTTGGGATTAGATTGAGTTTGGGATTGGATTGACCTTAGGATTGGATTGAGATTGGATTGGGATTTTATTGGGGTTTGATTTGGATGGATTAAATTGAAATTGGATTGGGATTGGTATGGAATTGGATTGAAAATCGATTGTGACTACATTGTGTCTTGAATGGAATTGGGTGAAGATTTGGATTGAGATTGGATTGGGATTGGATTGTGATTGGATTGTGATTGGATTGGGATTGGATTGCGATTGAATTGGGATTGGAGGGGCATTTGAATGGGAGTGGATTTGATTTGAATTGGAATTGGATTAGAATTGGGTGGCAATTGGATTCGAATTAAAAAAAGGATTGAATTGAGGTTGGATTGAGATTGGATTGGGATTGGATTAGGATTGGATTGAGCTCGGGTTGAGATTTGTTTGGTATTTCATTGGAGTTGGATTGTGATTGTATTGAGATAGGATTGAATTGATATTGGATTGAGATAGAATTGTAATTGTATTGGGAATTAATTGTGCATTGATTGCAATTTGATGGGGATTGGATTGGGATTGAATTTGAATTATACTGGGATTGGATCGGGATTGGATTGGGATTGTATTGGAATTTGATTAGGATTGGATTAGTATTGGATTGAGATTGGATTGGGATTGGATTGAGCTTGGGATTGGACTGAGTTTGGGATTGGATTGACCTTAGGATTGGATTGCGATTGGATTGGGATTTTATTGGGGTTTGATTTGGATGGATTAAATTGAAATTGGATTGGATTGGGATTGGTTTGGGATTGGATTGAAAATCGATTGTGACTACATTGTGTCTTGAATGGAATTGGGTAAAGATTTGGATTGAGATTGGATTGGATTGGGATTGGATTGAGTTTGGGATTGGATTGATTTGGGATCGGATTGGGAATCAAATGTATCTGGATTATGACTTAATTGGAATTGGATAAGGATTGTATTGAGATTGGATTGATATTGGATTATTAATGTATTGGAATTGAATTGGCACTGGATTGAGATTGGATTGAGATTGGATTGTGATTGTGATTGGATTGGGATTGGATTGCGATTGGATTGAGATTGGAGTGGCATTGGAATGGGATTGGATTTGAATTGAATTGGAATTGGATAAGAATTGGATGGCAATTAGATTCAAATTGAAAAAGGATTGAATTGAGGTTGGATTGAGGTTGAATTTAGATTGAATTGGGATTTGATTGAGATTCGTTTGGTATTGCATTGGAGTTGAATTGTAATTTTATTGAGCTAGGATTGAACTGATATTGGATTAGGATTGGGTTAAGATTGGATTGGTATTGGATTGGTATTGCATTGAAGTTGGAATGTGATTGTATTGAGATAGGATTTAATTGATATAGGATTGAGATAGGAGTGGAATTGGTATGGGAATTAATTGTGACTTGATTGGAATTGGATGGAATTGGATTGGGATTGATTTGGAATTAGATTGGGATTGGATTTGGATTAGATTGGGATTGGATCGGGATTGGATTGGGATTGGATTGGGATTGGATTGGGATTTGATTTGGATTGGATTGGGATTGAATGAAATTGTATTGAGATTGAGATTTGATTGATATTGGATTGAGAGTTTGTATTGAAATTGGATTGATGTTGGATTGGGATTGGATTGGGAATGGATTGTGACTGGATTGTGACTTAATTAGAATTGTGTAAAGATTGGATTGGGCTTGGATTGGGATTGGATTAGGATTGGATTGAGATTGGATTGTATTGGGATAGAATGGGAATTGGATTAGAATTGGATTGAGATTGTATTGGGATTGGATTGGCATTGAATTGGGATAGGATTTGAATTGAATTGGAATTGGATTACAATAGGATGGCAATTAGATTGGAATTGAGAAAGGATTGAATTGAGATTGGACTGAAATTTAATTATGATTGGATTGGAAATTATATGGCAATTGGTTACTGGATTGGATTGGGCGATTAAGTTGTGATTGAAATAATATTCCAATTGGGATTGGATTGGGATAGGATTGAAGTTAAATAAATATTAGATTGGGATTCGATTAAGAACATCCAGGAGCACAAATTTAGGCTCTTACAAAACATACAACAATGAAACTGGAACACCAGCAGTGCAGCAAAAAAGGAGTTCTAGTTTCATAAGTGATACCCTAGCATTGTACGAGAGTTGTGCTCTGGAAAACTTGGGGTGATAGGGCATATCAGCCATTACGACAGCCATTTTTCGACTCTTCAAGAAATCACCTTAAGGGGAAGCTTAACGGAAAAAAATGTTCTGGATCTTTAAGGATTTTTTAAATTATTGGAAAAAAGGTATCCTTAAAGGTAAATCTAAGAAATTAAGTTTTTTTTTCTAAGATTCTTGATATAAAAATGATTCTTTCAACAAAAATGTTTCAATCAACTTATTCTACAACTTTGTGCAACATTATGCTGGTCTATCTCGAATAAATAAAAAGTTTTTTTTAAAGCACGCATCAACCGTAAGGGCCACCCTAATGTCTTGAACATCGAAAGATTTACCTTAAACCAATGGTTTAGGCACAAACAATTTATTCCACCTTATTACAGCTTCCTGGACCACTGTATAATAGCTCAAAAACTGACAGTTTTGAGTGGTGGCTGCTGACGGTGTATCCCCCTATTAATGAAACAATCCTGTTCACACCCCTTGTCTTGCTTTAATAGCAATCTATGTGTTCAACGTTCTTACCCTAAGCTTGCGTTGTTATTGTTGTTGAACCCGTTGCCGTTGTGATTCGATGTGACGCCTCCATTGGCGGCATTGCTCCTGCCCTTGTTAATCAGCGAGCCCATTTTCAGATGCTCCAGCATCGAGTTCAAGTGCTGTGACATCATTTTATAGCACCTTCACACTACTTCAACGCTTCAGCGCCTTCCTCCACACCACCCTAGATCTTTAATTTTCCTGATTGCTGTCTATCGACTTGCACTGCACTTCCACATGGGAACACCCATTCACCCGAACACACACACACACACACACCAACCGATCGAACTCTTCAATCACTTTTAATTACTACCGGTGACACTTTCAATTGGCTGCCGATAGGCGATTGATTTCGGACCTAGGACGGCGGTATGATGTGACAACGAAGGATAACGGAGGGCCTGGTGATGATGTGACACACTGCCACACTGGGAGCGGGCGTCATTTAGGGGGTCAGGCAGCAGGTCCGTTCAGTTGGACGACTCCTGCGTCAATTCTGAAATGGGATACATAAAGGAAAAAGAAACTTGGTGTGAAATTAAAAAAAAAGAGTTGCTTGTTGATTAATTTGCAGTGGGCTGTAATTATTCGTTGTTATGTTTCATGGATCCAGTATTGTTTGCAGAATCAACAAGCCGGTTTTTCAAAGTAAAAGTCGTTCGAATTATATTGTTCAACTCAAAACTACCTTTATTTCACCCTTAAAATATTAGAAACAAGAAAGGAACTTTCGCAGGCGCCAAACATATAATGTTACGACGTTCAGCAACTATAATCCACATAGTAATCAGGAAGCTCTCCATCGTTCTCCGGTAACTCTACTTCGCCATCCACAATCACACTGCTGCTTTCCGAATCGTGTGAAGAGGTAAACGATCTTTCTGCTTCAGCTGAACAATTGGACTCCGTTCGACTATCTATTGGTTCCGCATCCTCCTCAAACAGTCGCCGTTTGACAACCTGAAGCTTGGAAAGCTCCTGCATTCGTTTACGTTTTCGACCGGTATACGAAGAGACGTAATCCTCCGGCATGGCAGCGTACTGCGATCGGTAGTATGCGTCGAACAGATCCAAGGAACGATTCCAATCGTCGATGTTGCAGCACATTTGCAACATCAGGCAACACTGAGTGCACAGAAAGGATGTACTTTCCAGCATGATGTACTGGGGGAAGTCGTTGGTGAGGACTTCCTGAATACGGCGACTGTCTGAGATATTGACAACGCTATCCGTTTGGAGACAAATGCAGCACCCAGCAAAATTATTGATGTTTTCGACACGGATTGCGCCGTTGGCAAAGCAGGCCATGCTGGATTTCATTGTGATCGGTAACTGTCGAGTAGACGGTTGCTATGTTGCTTGAAGTAGCTCAACAACCAGCTTATATGATACTTTAAGATCATACCTAATGCTCCGATTCTGATCGGTACCAAGAATAGGTAGAAATTGTACATATTTGCATTCTCCGTTCATACCTACTAAATCGTTATGGATGCTACTTCAGAGGCAATTACACATTTCACCGAGAAGAACTCAATCTACATACGCCATGGAAGGCTTCAAACGGAAGCGTTCAAAAAGCCCGTTACAACAGTGCATGGATCAATCGACCAGCAGCGAAGAAGAGCAGATCAATCAAGTTGCGGAGGATATTGCCGGAATGGATCTGCAGTACCACCCCGTAGATGAACCGGTTCCTAGTAGCTACGAAGTTTTTGTTGCACAGCTACCGAATGCAACGCCAGCAGCAGATAACTATGAGCAACCACTTCCGATTCACGCATTCAATCATCCAGAAGACCAACGTCAGAGGAATGGGAATCTTTTCGACACCGGTAATGAATCCGGAAGAGACGATAGTGGAATCGAGATGGGAGAACCATCGGAAAATGTTGCCAGGCGTTTCGTTCGAACAGTGCATGCCATCGATTCTGATGGGGGACTGCAAACCGTGCATTTCTGCTGTGGGCTGTGCAAGAGCATGTTTGAAAAGGTTGAACTACTGCATGATCACTTGGCAGCGGTACACCGGGTAAGATTATAATAGGCTGTGTGTGGAAATGAATTGTGAATTAATAATTGAAAATAAAGCACTACTGGTAGGATAATAATAATCGGTTTTCGTAGCTGGTTACCAGCATAATACCAGCACAACAGACATGATCTACGTAGCTTATGGGCAGCCCCTATTCTAAACTCAAACTAGCTACTTAACGTTTGCTTGATATGTCGATCTGGGCAAAAAAAAATCAAACAAATATAGCTGTTTTGATTCGCGAAGCTCCTCAGATTATCTGAAATTTAATCGCCTGTAAAATCACTTGATGATGGGTATAAAGCCGCGATGGAATTAATTTAATTATTGATATTGACTCGCGCGTCAACGAACGGACCGCAACCGAGCGGAACAGTTAATAATTATGTTAATAATGTCCACCGGGTCGTTAGAGGAATGTCATTATCATTGTCATCACCGTTATCGACGGCTTTTATTAACTCACTTTGGGGAAGCGTAAAATTATGTCACTGAAGGATCAATGTCATGTGAACTCCGGGTTCGAAAAATTAATCCCGTTTGTTTACAGTTGCTTTTGCGATTCCGGTATTTATGAATCATTAATAGAACATTATTTAATGGATTAATTATCCAAGGGAGTGTTGTATTAAAATAAACGATTTATTCTGTAGTAACTCGACTCGGTTAAAAATTTAAAAAGACATTTATGTGGAACCATGAAAAGGAGATAGGATTAAACACAATTTTAGTATAAACATATTCATTTATTAACGTTATTCTAGTGCAAACAAAGATGTGTATTTCAAACAGTTATTCGATTCAATTTATAATTTCAAAGCCATTTTCGTAAAATTATTGTCATTATTTCCTTGTTAACCATCTTCCCTCCGATAGCTATTGGACCGACTATTTATTGAATCTCCTTTCGATTTTACAAACGATTCCTTGTCACTGTTCCGATCAGCACCGCGTCCAACTCCAAAGGCTTGAATCTGCAGGCACAAGTTACTTAATTCGCCAATCTTTGAATCAACAGCAGCAGCAGAAGTCGTTTTATTTCTCGCCAATTCTTCATTTTGTGGCGAATCCAATTGAAAGCAAGCACTACTGCTAGACGACGATCCACATACTTGAAACAGCTCCGATCCACTGATTTCTCCAGACAGCGTCCTCTCCAACGATAATTCACTTCGCTCCAGGTCATGGTCGCTAACGTTCTCTAAGTTAGCAGGCGTATCGCAACGATCACTTGCCAAGCTCGACGATTCACCTAACTCTGGCTGCTCTTCGTCCTCCGGTGATTCTTCAAAACGTACCCTCTTACTGCGTACCACTAATTCCTCGCCATCCTCGTCCGGGGAAGCAACTCGCTTCTCACCTGTGGGGACAGCCGAATCATCCAGCAGTGACTGACGTGGCCACAGTCCATCGTGGAAGGTGTACGTATCCACCAACGCTTGGACCCGGCTGGCCAGTAGAAGAAACTCGTAGCTCTGCTCCAACCTTTGGAAGCAATTTGAGCAAACGAATCGTGAAGCATTTCCTTTCAGTGTACCCAGGCAGCCGTGGTAGCATTCCGAGATGAGCATCTGAATTCGATCGTTGTCCACGATGCTAATCAATCGGTTGTTGTTGCACAAACAGAAACGACACACCCGCGCCGTTTGGATCCGTGTCAGGCGTTGCACAAAGTGTGGATTCAACGAGTCTCGTCTGCTGACCTCCATGGCTGAACTGGATCAAATGACTGCTGAAAGCAAAGAAGGTTTTTGGTACGACGGTTGAAAGTGGGAATTGTAGCATTATTTTTATTATGATTTACCTGGGTTGTTTGTACCTATGGGTAAGCTACCCAGATAAGTACTGTAAAGCGGTGTAGCTTTGGTCACTGATTCCAAGCAAAGTAGCGCATCGAAAGAGGGACCCGTACCCAATGTACACGGGCCACCACCGGAGCACACTGAGGCAGATCAGTGATTTTCTCGGAAAAAATTAATAACTTTTGAACGAAGCATCCAATCAGAATACTGTTTTCAGTAAAGTTGTTTGTATTAGTTAAGCGCTTCTTTTGAATAACTTAATTAGTTCGCAACTTGGTCGTAGAGATAGCGCGAAAATCTAACTTTTGAATAAAGCATCCTAGACGCATGGGGTTTTCAACAAAGTTTTTTATCTATTAAAATGAAGGGAAGTTGCACAAGACATAAAACTTGAATAGCCTTTAGTTTCGGAGATATAGGGTATATTAAAAAATATGAAGCCAAAATTCTTATTTAATAACTTTTTTTATATATTTTCATATGTTTGCTCTGGTTTCTGCATTTATTCCAACGGAAACAAACTAGGTGCGAATTTCCATTGAACTATATGTGGAATTTATAGTGGCTTTTATGAAATATTCTCGAAGAACATGATATTTTGCCTGTATTTTAGGTGGGTGGGATTCTCATAAGGGCAGCTAAGAGCAGCTGGACTTTGTATCATTTGTAAGCTCATGTCATCCTTTAACATATACCAAAAAACTAAAGACATGATATTCGATGATATTTTTTTAATTTCACTTTTTGTCAACCGTTACAAGTATCTCTACTATTAAGAAAACCTGTCAGTTTATTCGTTAAACTTTTTAAATTACAGAAGCAGTAATGCTTTAAAGATTAAACTATCTCTTAAGTTAAAGCATTTAGAAATAGGTTGAATCATTTCCTTAATTGTCACTATCGTCAAATAAATCCGGTGGTTATAGTAATGCTTATGAATACCAACTACTAAAACATTGACGCACATAAATAATGCTCGCTTACATTTTCGAAGAGACGTCAGACGTCACTACCATCAGATAGTGGAAATTTTCTCCTACATGATAGTGGTGTTAATATGGGTGGACCAGCTACCAGTTACGCCAAACCGACGATCAAATGCATTATTTACAACAGCTGATATGTCTCTTCGAAAAAGTTATCGAAAATTGTACGTTGTACACGATCACGTTGGCATAGCAGCACACAGCTTGTACGATGATATCACACATACAACTTTACCTGGGTAATGCTGCTGATTAAGCTGACGTATACATGGTGGAAAGGGACGGATAATCGTGTTGTAAGCAGAGAGACAAAAGCAGATGATGGCATCAAAAACATGGCCGTCAGCCAGGTCCCTGGTTCGCTGGCAGCTCATGATAAGTAAACAATCTCAAAATTCAGCACAGCATTTAAAAATGGTGACATGTCAAAAATTTATATAATGTTATCCATTTTGTGTAACAGTTCATTTCAATGTAAAAGATGTTTTTATCGGTATATATATAGTGAAATTTAAAAAAATCATCGAATATCATGTCTTCAATTTTCTGGTATATGTTAGACGATGACATGAGCTAACAAAACAGACAAAGTTGAGCTGCCCTTAGCTGCCCTTATGAGAATCCCACCCACGTAAAATACATGCAAAATATCATGTTTTTCGGGAATATTTCA